ACTTCATCCCCTCTGTCATCCATTCATGTCTGCTATTGGCCTAGTCGCCATGGTTACTCTGCCCTCGGCGTCACTAAGCCCCGATTGTGACTTGTGCTGCCAGGAGGAGAATGATAATGCATATAAACACAAGAGCAGACTCACACAAACGTATACTTTCGTAAATCGTAATGGGTGTGCTCATTGGGATTTTCATTCATATAGCAGTTGGGTTTAAAGACACACACACAGAGAAAGTGACAGTCTGTTTCTCTCTTTCTATCACATTCAGACATGGTCATGGTAATACACAGGGATGCTCTGACAGAAAGTCAGCTCCATTAATCATCCAGTCTGTGTGTGCACTCTGATACGTCTGTGTGTTCTGAAAGGTCTCTGATATTAGAGTCTTAAGCTACATAACCTTTAAAGGCCATCATCGTATATTACCTCTAAAATAAACATAGTATAATCCATTTCATGCTGCATCGGTGATAAGTAGAAGACATTTCTGGCATCAGATTCCAAACTGAAGTAGAGTGTGAACAGGAGTGCTCCATTTGTGAAGATGGAGGCTGGCAAGTGTTACCTGGAAGCATCATCTAAAAAGATGTTTCCTATGTGAATGGCCTTGCCTCTGAAACTACCTCTTGTCTTGCAAAGAGGATGCTGGGAGACGGAGACTGCAAAAACGCAGTTGCCATAGTTTCACACTTCTGCCTCTGAGGGTCGATTAAGGAAAACGTTCCGACCATTTCCACTCATCCTTTATAGTTCTCATCAATATGGATGCTGATTGTGTCGTCTCCATGCTCTGCCCTTTTGCACCTCTCTCTCTCTGTCAAGTTAACAAAAACTATCCTTTTTTTCTGTCGGTTTATCTTTTCAAGTTAAAGTCTTGTATTGGTGTCCCTCTGTTCCTGCATTTAAATACCTACAATACATACAATACAAAAAAGCTTTGATGTCTGTCTGTATGTGAATTTTGGGGGTTTATTTGGCATTTGGTTGAGCGGATTTCTAAAGGGGAAAAACCTGGGACTAAGCAGGAAGTGCAGATTGAGTAGCACTTGAAGTTGCTATTTTAGATGTTGTGGAAATGTTTGTGTGATGACACACAAATTATAGATGAGTGACAAAATGCTCAGGAGATGTTGAGGTTTGGTGTTTCTGGCTTGTACTCTTTATTTATTTATTTATTTTTTATATATATTTGCAACCAGGTCTAGAGTGCTACACATTTCCACCGCAGCCATGCAGCTTAGGTTTAACATCGATGACCTCATTGTGTATATTCACTCTTCCGTCTCTCATTTATCCTTCTATCCCGCCCCTTTGTTCTCTCTAAATCATTTCTGCCATTTCTTTTCGTTCTTTTCTTAATGTATTTATTGACCAAAGCTCCCACTGTGGATATTACACAAGGCCCTTTTAACCCGATGTCAACTGGCCCATTGAACTGCCAATCATCTGACGGCTATCCATGCTGCTGCTATAAATATTACATATGCCATGACAGGATTTCCTGCAGTATCTGTGCTAATCCTATACTCCTGCTGGGACATTTCCTCTGGCCTCTACTCTCCACTTGTTCATGTGATTAGTTGTTTTAAAAGTCTATAGAATGCTTCTCCTTTTTTTTACACATTTGCTGTTCTGTTGTTACAAAAACTGCATCCAATCAGGAAGTAACGTGGCAACCAGAAACCACAAAAAGGGAAAGACATTCAGCAACTTCATTTGAGCTGAGTTGCTGATGAGCAATTGAAGAGACTACCAGTGAGATTGCAGGATACTATTGACTGACATATAACCTGGTAGTAAATACATTATAGGGTTACCTAGGCAACAGGAGGCTGGAATGTCCACAAGAGACTGATCGTCAGCTTCAAAACAACGCGTGATAAGCAAATCGCCTTCAGTGTGGATGCAAATTTAATGATGCCATGTTGTGTATTGTACTCTGAATTTGGTTCTTAATTACAAATCTCTCTCGAGAAAATAAACAAATAAATACATAGCTTAAATAAGTGCTTTAATTTGGCAAACATTCCCTTTGTAGTAGGCTTCCTGGGCTGCGCTGTGATTTTCTTGTGTTTTCATCATGCACTGGATCTTGTCCACTTTATCAAAACTGCAACCCTTCAACTTCCTTTTGAGGAAGAGGGTGAAGTCACAGTGAACCAGATCTTGCAGTGGTGACCAAATAACTGTGTTTGCAATGGATGTTGTGCAGTCGAATTTTATGTGGACAGACTAACACTCGGGGACGATTCACAGTGCAAAATCCAGTGGACACCAGAGAACAGATTCTTCTGGTAGCACCAATGATCTGATCTACTGCCTTTAGGACTGCACACTTTTGACTCTTTAACTAAGATCTGCTCTAGAGACATAACTCTCATCACTAATGATGATGCTGTGAAAGTTTGATTAGTTTGCAGAAATTAATGTTCAGTCATGCAAAGTTTAAGACGCGTGCAAGTGGTCAGAATGGGCAGGACTTCACAGAGTTGCTGTTTTTTAAAATTATTATTATCATTTTTAATGAAGGGAGCTGCAGAACATCATTGCACTGTGTAAAAGTGTAAAAAGACAGTAACAATTTTCCAACTCCACAGTTAGGGTCATCGCTAATTAATCATCTCAGCTGTGCATTGCAAATATTTCCCCATAGTTGTTATTAAAGGTTTTTATCAACTTATCCTCACATACATACTTTCAAAATTGGTTTAAAGATTTTTTTAAACTTCCTTAGAAAGCTTGGCTTAGCTAACACACAAGTAGTGTCCCTGCAGTTAGTTATAGTTAGTAAAGCAGTGCCTTCACTTGTCCGTCCTAGCTGTCACTTAATCCTCCTGAAGTGGCTCTGTCACATAATCCTTCTCCCATTTCTGTGTTTACAATGTGCGTCTCTAAAACATAATGTTAATGCTTTAAAAAGCAACATGATGACAACTGAATAGTTGTGTAACGTGCACTTCAGAGTATGAATTCAGTGTCATCTTCAGGGCACTGACTTACCTAAAAACCTGATGTATTTTGGGTGTGGGAACAGATGGCTCAGTCTGCTAAGGGATGGATATTAACCCCGGAAGTCCCCTTCATCAGCAAAACAAATGTCAAAGCATGATATGTGTTGCGAAACACCCGATGGCTTTGTCATGCTTTCTTTTTTCTTTTTTTTTAAAAAGCACTGCTGTACTGAAGAGGTCCTATGCAGTACAGATTTACTTATTGATTATTTTTAAAGTGACAATTTTAATTAAGAATAAATTATCCTTCTAAGATTATTTCCCCTATCGATTTTTTCAGTGCTGGACTGTGGATGAAGGCTTGATCCTCCACCTTTCTGCTGGACAAAGGCAGAGATATTCATGTTAAGCGTTGAGGGCTTAAGGCTGTTTACCTTATGTTGTCATTAAGCCTTTAAGTTCAACCTAGGAGACTAAACTAATCTTTTCTCCAGTGGTATCCTATGATGTAGTGCCTGCCCCGGGCTCAGCTCGTATTAAAGCATCACGATGGGATGACTAAGGATTTCACTGGAACCAGGTGAACGTCCATCTTCCAACCTTCCTTCACCCTCTTCCCTTTTTTTTTGTACCAGCCTGTCAGTCTTGCCTGTTAGCAGGTGTTGGTGGAGGTCATAGAGAACAAATGGGACATGGGAGAGGACAAAATGAAGGAGAGCAGATGGAGAGGCTTAAAAATGTGAAAAGGTGTGCTGAAGGAACAGCCTGTCCATCAAAGGTGTTAAATTGACTTTGAAAGGAACTAGTTGAATGAATTCCCTGCCCTCCAAAATATAGTACCGTTCTTTGGTGCCCACCTTTAGATATTAAACAGGAGAAGGAAGATGCTCCGGCTGATTTAAAAACAGAGAGCCACTTTCTAGCCCGAGTTCATGGTGTGATCATCGGATACAAAACTTTTAGACCTCCTGCATTGAAATCCTGCATGAGTGCATATGCATAGTTACAGTGTAGAGCTCTAAATACCTCACTTTAAACAGTGTTTATACATTTGTTTTCTTTCTCAAAACATGCCAGGCTATTGAACATCTGTAATTTTTGTGCGAAACAGTTGATAAAAAGAAAACCACTTTTAAAAGTGGTTAATATTTCATTTATTAATGATATGTAATTCTCTTCAAGGCTATGGGCATGAAAACCAGTAATTAGTATAAAACAGTTGGGATTTGATGAAAAGGGAGCCATATTTCATAATTTTCGTATCATTTATCATTCTCAACACAAAAGTGCTGCTTAGCATTTAGGCAAGAGCCCTTTTATGGGAAAAATGTGGAAGCAAAAATGAGTTTTATGTAATCATTTGTGAAACCTAATATATCTGTTTGCAAGTCATGGGAACTTGCTTATGAGGGTTAAAATTCGGGTCCAGATGATAGTCAGAACAGACAGTATGTGTCGAGCTTAAGGGGCTTAAGTGGTTGTGATTTTAGATTGTGGCTTGAATTCTGATCTTTTAAGTTTTCCTCCTTAAATAAGCAATAAACGATGAAGCGAGTGCAAAAAATGTCTTCTCATTAATGACCCGTAGAGGGTTGTACACTAATATTTGAACTGAATGGTTAGTTAATCACGTGCAACTGATGGGAGTATTTGCCAATATTACTAAAACATGTGAGTTTTAAATGAAACTAGTTCTACGTTCACATACATATTACTCAGGTTTAAGTATCAGTGTTTGACAATTTTTAGACATTTTTATACATTAAAAGTTGATTTAACCTCAATCAACTGATTATGCAGCTGCAGATTTTAATGAGGGTGCAACATTTCACTACAAGGACTTTTATTAGGCATTAACAAAATAAGCAGTTCCTGCTTATAACCTTAAAGCATTTTTATTAGAAATGCCTAAAAATATGGTCCATGCTGCCTACAGTCTCTTTTTGTCTTCAGTTCTTATATAATCTCAGACTCTTTCGTCATTGTGAGGGTACCGCTGCAGTGTGTTTTTTTTTTTTTTTTTTTTTTTTTAACCCCTCTGAGTGTGTTTGCTCTTGCAGGCAAAGTCTAGTGTGGGTATTTGTTTTTACAGATGAATGTTTAGACTGCTCCGTCTCCCTCTCTGGACCTTCCCGCTTTCACTCGTCATCCTCTGTCTGAGCAGTCGGAGCTGTCTTGCAGTTGAAAACGTACAGGTGCTTGCGCTTCATTTTCCAGGAAGGAGCAGAAGCTACAGTGCAAGACACAAACACTAGGAGAGCAACAGCCTAAATTAACTCCTTCTTTTAGGCTCATGCACCATTTGACTAGTGACTTCTCTTTTCCTCTTGACTCTTCCTCTTGTCTTATTTTTTTGTAATGATTCTCTCCTCTGAACTCTGCCATCATTTCGAGCTTTGGTGCGTTGCTTTGACGCAAGACGTGACTGTTGTAGGGTTTAAACTCGTTTGACCTCTGCTGCTGTGAATGGACAGTGTTTGGACAGCACTCCAGCCTATCATCTCCCACATGCTCCCTTTCTGTCCCACTTTGTCTCCCTTACTGTAATTGGTGTCGGAGCCAACACTGGGATTTGGATGAGGCATGAGCTAACAATGTGAGCATGCCCTTACTTGGCTAAAGCTCCTATCTTATGACATCCTTCTTTGGAACACCTACCAGTGGACTGGCTGCAGACCTGCACTGGCCCCTTGTGTTAATCAAAGGGCATTACACCATATCCGTCTCTCACAGTTGACGCATCTGTTCTCCAGCAGTCTGAAAAGGTGATCAAATGTTGCATAAGCGGACTCAGAGAAGCATTTGTGTTAGCTCGTTTAAGCTTCGATTCGACCAAAGATTATCATGACTGTAGGATTCTCTTATTGTTAAACTTTTACTGTGCCCTTTTTCAGGCTTCGTTAGACTTTTAGTCAGATGATGTGTCAACGGAAATTGAAAACCTCGCATGATTGCTATCTTGAATCTCAAACTGAAGAAAAAGCATGAAGTCAGTTTCCCCACTTTGTGCCTAAAATGACACAAAAGATTCAAGTTCTTCTCATTGTTTCCGTAAACTTGTCCTTGAAGCTCTTGTATAGACTTCTGATTCATTTTCCCATTGAGAAAGAGCTATTTCCTGCTTGAGTTGAGCCTTTTCCTTCTACGCTGTCCACAGCTAATCGGTCCCCTGCTCATATGCATTTTTTATAACTTTACTTCCCATTTTGCTTAGCATACAGGAAGGTTGTATCGGTTGCGGTATTGCATACAGAGTTGTTGGCTAACTGACACAGGCTGACATAGAAGCAAGTGTCTAAGTGTGACTGTCACAGAGGTTCACTGACACCCAGTGACAGCATCAGTGACATGGAAGTATCTGGACACAGACATGTGGAGGTTCTTATTCCGCACCAAAACCCGCATGGCAGAGGCAAGTAGATGCTTTTATTTCATGTGTGCGTGTTATGAACCTCCGCTTGTTACAAAGTGGGCAGCTGCGTGTGAGTGTGGTCAGGTGAAGAATGTGCTGGGGACTTGCCGAAAGCTTTAGGGAGTGCTTGGCGCGTGTGTGTGTGTGTGTGTTGCGTGATATTTTGGGAGGGATGAAGGGGTTTCCTCTGTGAGGGTGGATGTGAGAGTTTTCATCTTCCCAGCTGTGAATTGACGGGAAACAAAGGAGGATGTGGATGGAGGATCTTCCACCTCCTCCAACCTCAAAAATCATAAAAAATGTTATTTTCAATGCTAGGGTTAATGCTTCACTGAAGATTCTGCCTTTTCACTCAACCGGTGTAGCAAATTTAAAAGTTAGATGCTCAGTTTTTCCATCTTTGCGTTTTGGCCAAGTCATGGTATTAATGCAATCAAACTGAAACTGATCTGCAAAACCACAAAAAATATGTGTGAGGCCATGAAGTGTGAATACTCTTTTTCTTTTTCATTTTTTTAATCTCCCACACACCATGTGACTTCATTTCAAAAGACAGCTGTTCCTGAGTACTCTAGATTCCGGATAACACGAGAACCTTTATAAATAGTTAGTCATAACGCTGAATTTCAGCTTCTTCTCTGCAACAGCTGTCATGCTTGTAAACTCAGCTCTCCTGTGTAGTTGGTTATCTAGTTATCGAGCAGGAAGGATGTGAGATCAGTTCAAGAAAAGAGGAAGTGAGAAGTAGGAGGGAAGAGAAGTTTCCTGTCACTAATGTGGCCCTATTCTACCCTCTTCTCTGTGCGTGTGCGTGCGTGCGTGCGTGTGTTAATGAAGTGTACCTGCAGCAAGCCTGTATGAAGAGGTACAAATGTACCTGTTGCAAAACCCGTCATGTTTTACGTAACTCATGTTAACTGCTCCATTCAAACACTTCCTAGAACGAGTCTCATATCACCTGGATAGAGAGGGACTATGCCACTATTAGAGCCCAGGTAAGCTCTCACCACCTGTGTACTGTTGCTTTTAAATCCGTTCATTCTGCAGCTCCTCCCTCGCTAAACAAACATTACATTCTGCTTCATCCATGTCACATTGTATTTCCTTTTTCTTTTTTTTCTCGTCTCCCCACACTCTGGAAAATGTACTCTCCCATCACAAAATTGTTAAGCAAATAACCTTTTCTGAGCACAGGCTGCAGTGCAGGTTCGCTGCCAGCCAAGTAACGCTGCTCTTTGGTCAAGAGGAGTTGACTCATGCTCTATATACAGGCGCGTAATGGCGTATTCTCTCAGGTTAAAGAAGTGTTTGCTGTATAAAAGGCAATAAAGTGAGCAATGGAGGAAAGTAAGAGGATCTCAAGACCACTTTACGAGCAGCGAGAGCTGTGTTAGGAGACAGGATGAGCAGGAACAGGACTGTTAAGAGGGGGAAGAGAGCAACATGCCTGGCCACAGACAGGAAAATCTCTGTCATCCAGAGGCAGTGAGTTGTCTGAATCCTCTCTGGTGTGTTGACACCGAGAGGGGACACATCATCCTCTCTCTGCCATCCTCCTCCACGCTGGCCTCTGTGTTGAATTATGGGTAAAGGGAAGTGGCACAGAGTTGGGTTCTTGAGTCTGTAAAATTACTGATAATGCAAGCAAATTTATTCAAGAAAGCATTTAATTGGCATTTTCTTTTTACTTTTTCTCCACCTCTATCTCTTTTTTGTGCTTCTTTTGAGTTTCAGTGTACTCCTGTTGCTCGCTTGCTCTCTCTCTCTCTCTTTCTCTCTCTCACTCTCTCTCTCTTTCAGCCGCACACATGTGTGTGTGTGTGTGAGAGAGAGAGAGTGTGACAAGAAGTTGGGTGCAGGACTGTGAGAATATAGCAGGCTCTTCCTTCCTGCTCGCTTCGGTTCCAGTTCATTTCAGCTGCAGTCATTCACCGAAGGCACACCGGTCTAATCAGACAGACACAGAGGCAGGGAGCGAGCAAGGACCGGAGATAGAATGGAAGAGAACATGAAGATGAAGCACTGAAGGAAATTTAGCAGAAGGCCTCTGCAGTCGACTAAAGAGCAGAGGCTGAGAGACTTTTCAATATTTATCTGCAGTCCACACAACGAATCCTAACATGAAAGCACAAACGATCTTAAAGTGTGCTCTCGGTGAGATGAGGTGAGATTTGAGATGATTATATGAGAGGTAGAAGAGTGTGTACCTTGTTATGGATGAAGGTAGGATGATACAACACTCTGGGAAATGCTGAGATGGAGAAGGACAAGAGAAAGTTCAACCTGACTCGCATGCTGTCCATCTACTTGTTCAAAAAGAACAAATCCTTGACTGGCAGCCCTGCTCACTGTAACACCTACAGACCCACGGCGGCAACGGACAACGACACTGGCACTTTACCTCCGCCGCAGAACCACTGGACGGTAAAGTGACACCTCCTGATATTGACATCTCGATCAGCTTTGAGTAGTTAAGTCGTCGACAGAGCGTTCAGTGGCGTCGTCTTAATAAAACTGAGTTTTAAGAAAATGAGGAGAAAAGAGGGATTCATCAGCTCAGCAAAGTGCAAACGAGGTTTTGTATTCGCTCTTGTCGCGGTTGTTCAGAAAACAAGGTGCAACTGAGAGCCTGCTGTGTTCAGCCAACTCTGGTTTCCTGTTGTCAAATTAAGTCCCGGGCTGTAGTGGTCTGTGGTGATGGCGGTGGCTGTTGTTTTGTAGAAACTTTTAAAAAGCTGAAAGAAGAGACTGCTGAAAATATGTCTTTCATCACTTCTTTGAAATATTGATTATGCAACGGTCAGCTGATTGCACTTTATTTTTTGTTTGGTTGTTTTTTTTAAATAACTTGTAATTGCCAAGTGTAACTTTATTCAGTATCCATGGTAATAGTGTAAACCTGAACATGCCTATAAAGGAGAAATTAGGAGCAGGACAGCCCAGATGTTCTGCTTTCTGATCCCTGAGATTTGGATTTCATAGGCAGAAGTAGGGGAAAAGTCTTTCCCCTGAAACTGCACTGGTGAATCTAAAATTCTCCCAGCAGGGTACCTACTGTACTTTGCTTCATCACAGGGCCCGAGGTGTGAAATTCAAGGAAGATTATCAAGGGAGGGGAACACTCTTGAAAGAGAATTCTCTGCATCGTTGTTATTGTTGTTGAGTTTTGGGTGAGGCTGACACCAGGTCAGCTGCGCGTGTTCATGTGGTGGAGCTATGAGCGGTGTCAGCTGGGATCCACCCAGTTGTGAGAGTGCGCTTGCTGTGAACTTGCTTTTACACAGATCTACTTCCACTGAACATTTACACCACCAGTTCCCGTATGCTAAAAGCAAATAAACGCATCGATAAGCAACTGTTTGTGCTCACGTGCACATCTCACTTCTTACCATGCTTCCTCTTTTTTTGAAATGTTTTATATTGATGTGGTGCTATTTACAGCAGGAGGCACCTCCACAGGAGAACTTATCTTTGCATAAGCAAGCGGCTTGTGAAATTTTTTTTTTTTTTTTTTTTTTTGCAGCTGTGCAGTATTGCTGTCGTTCTGTGATCATTGACTGCTTTCCCTCCGTCTGTTTTCTTTTCACTCTTTAGGAAGATGGCGACATCAAAGAGATCAACATCACCCATGTGGTCAAGGAGGGCTCAGAGAAAGCTGATGCCTCTCAGTTTGAACTGCTCAAAGTCCTGGGACAGGGATCCTTTGGCAAGGTAATTTGCTTTTACTCTTTCGGTTTCTTTCTATTTTGACTACATGTCTATTTTTCTCTTCCTCCTTTGCTACTCTTCCTCCCCAACCTACAAAAATCGTTGCATCTTTAACAGTGTTTTTGGTGTTTGTTATATTTTTGGGGGGAATTTTTTTGAAAAAAAATTATTTTGCAGGTGTTCCTGGTACGAAAGGTGACTCCTCCCGATGCCAACCAGCTCTATGCCATGAAGGTCCTCAAGAAGGCCACACTAAAAGGTACAGCAACGTCGGGCTTGGCTATGGTCGTGAAATTTTAAGAATTGCTACTTTTCTCGGTTTTGGCTTTTGGCTTCATTGACAGGGGAAAAAAAAACAAAGAAAAGTGAGTGAGTTGGGGGTTGTTTTTTTTGTAGAGCTGCACCTTTTACCTTTCCGGTGATGTTGATTTGAAAAGGCCTTGTGTTTGGCAACTTCATTTTTCAAGTGGTTGTTTAGTTTCATATAAAAGGGTGTATGAATTTCCTGTAACACATGCAGTGGTATGTGTGCATAGTAAGACCACCACTGCTTTCAGTGGGTTCCTATGAACAGGTGTTGTGGTCTCACCTTCTGCAAACATCGGGGCATCAGATTTCTTCTCATCGTCTCCCAAAATCACGTGGGTGGTTCTGTGCAGCTTTGCAAATTTAACAGGGACCTGTTACTCTCATTTAAATCTCCGTGTTTTTATTCTTTAACAGCTTTTCATGACTAGCAGGTCAAATTCATCATAATTCGCCTTATTTTGGGTGCAGCTCCTAAGGTCACCCTCTGTCTGAAATTCGCTATTTTACATTCCTTCCCTTTTGCTTGAAGTCAGCTTTTTTCTGATTGGCTGCCCATGGTGAAGTTTTTAAGCAGCAGCTGAGTTAATCTACTGTGCTCAGAGTCGCAGGTGCATGCACAAAATCCCCAAATTTAGGTCATCATTAACATTCAGCACTGACCCCATTATTTAAGTTTGGCTATGCTTTAATTTGAGGATCCTCTCCTATTGCAGCTTAATGAGTCCAAGTTGAATTGTACTCTCATCAGCACCAGCATTTAGTGTGTTGTAGTACTTTTACCATACTCTGTGCTTACGTACAGACACGTTATAAATCTTTAATGAATACTATCACACTAACCCTCGATCATTGGCCTTCAGTCAGAGACCGTGTGAGGACCAAGATGGAGCGAGACATTTTGGCAGACGTCAATCACCCATTTGTTGTCAAACTGCACTATGGTGAGTCAGCCTGATGCTTTTGTTAGACTCTGCTTCCCTTCCCTCTTATTAATGTTATTTGATGTACTGACTTGATTTACTGTTTTATTACTTCAACTTCCGGAAGCTTAACTCATGCTTCCTGATTTACAGTTGAACTAAATGTGAATTTGTGCATCTGTAGCATTCCAGACTGAAGGGAAGCTGTACTTGATCCTGGACTTTCTCAGAGGAGGGGATCTTTTTACTAGACTCTCCAAAGAGGTAAAAAAAAAAGAAAAAAAAAAAAGAAGTGACTACTTAATGTTGTTATGCTGACCTGAGGTCAGGATTTCTTTTTCTCAGTCCTATGTCCACTTATTTATCCTATAAACTGATATGTGCTTACCCATTTATTCTGCATTGTGTCACTCTGCGGTGTTATGCTCTCTTATTGTCTCATTTTCCTTTTCTTTGTGTGTCACATCCTCTCTCTTCTTTGTCTCCTTTACCCCTCAGGTGATGTTCACAGAAGAGGATGTGAAGTTTTACCTAGCAGAACTGGCATTAGGACTGGACCACCTTCATAGCTTGGGTATCATTTACAGGGACCTCAAACCTGAAAAGTAAGAGTGGAAAACCAAGCGTTTTGCATGCCATGCTGCAGGAAATGTATAATGACAAATATATATAAAAATATGCACACAGTGCATCAGTCATAAACGTCTCCAAGCTAGATTAATCCAGAAGAACAGCATGCATTTCAGTGAGTGTGGGAAAAGTGTCTTCCCTGCTGCAGACCTGTAGCCACAACCCCAGACAGCAGTGATGACTTCAAAGTGCAACAATTTCCTCCTGTCATATTTCTATTGCACTCACTGCAAAGTATTTTTTACTTGTTGAACCCTGCACCATTTTCATTAGCTTGTGTTCCCTCACTCTCTGCTGTAATTGGCACATCGGTACTTGTTATGGTACATTGCTGCCACCAGCTGTCGATGCTTGTTCCTCAGCGTGTGCTGTGCACAGCACTCGATCTCATAGTATGCATGTAAGACCCGACACCGCCGCTAATTTAAAGTGCCGGTGATTCATTTATGTATTGCTTTTTAAAATTTTGGTGCTTTTGAATGCTAACATGTTGTATTGAAACTGAAACATGTTTTTATAACTTTGACCACCACATACGGACTGCTATATTAGCCTTCAGTTGTTTTTAAGGGTACCTAATGATCCGACAGCCGAGTATACTTTGACACCAAGACATACTACAACTGAGCAAAGCACACAGCAAAGAAAAGTTTACTTTGTACAATCCAGATGGGTAAAATGTTCAGACTGTGTAAGATTTTAGTTTGTCTTATATGTGACATTGTTTTCTCCTAGCATTCTTCTGGATGAGGAGGGACACATCAAACTCACAGGTGAGCCTCCTTGTTGTTTCTTTTACATCTACCTCTCACTATTCATTTTGCACACACACTTTCCTTTCCTCTACCACATTGACCTTGATTCACAGCAGTGATGGCTTTATCTCACTGATTCGTATCTCCATAACATCCTGTATATGTTCCCCAAGTTAATTATAATACTTTATCTTGAATATCTGTGATAAACCTCTTTAGAATCTCTTATCCTCAACCAGAGGAAACTAATGATAATTAAGAAGTCGCCTTAACAGAGCTCTTGTAGGAAAACTGTTTCATGTTAAAGCTTTTTGTAGCTATTATCGTGCTGCTATATAATGTGTATGATCCGGGTCCTTGGTTAATGTCTTGTGTGTTTTCAGATTTCGGCCTGTGTAAAGAAGCCATTGATCATGAGAAGAAAGCTTATTCCTTCTGTGGCACTGTGGAGTACATGGCACCAGAGGTCGTGAACAGGCAGGGACACACCCACAGCGCCGACTGGTGGTCGTTCGGGGTACTAATGGTAAGGAGGAAAAAAACGTACTGGCTGAGCGTAAATATTACGTAAATAAGTATGCCGATTACATTTTTTGTGTTTTCTCTCCCAGTTTGAGATGCTGACGGGGGCGTTGCCATTTCAAGGGAAGGACCGCAAAGAAACCATGAATCTCATTCTGAAGTGAGTACCACCTGGATTCAAGAACATCACTCATTTTTTCTTTTCTTTTAACTACTTACTCATGTCCATCAGCAAAAGCGTGTGAGTGGACTAGCGCCTATTCCACCTCACTTTGGGTGAGAGATGTGGGCTACACCTTGGACAGGAAGCCAGTAAATTACAGGGCTAACACAGTTAGACAGCTGAGCAGGCACATTCACAACTACATCTGAAGTCAATTTACAATTACCAGCTAAGTAGCTCTCAAACGTTTTGTGGCACGCCCCCCATTTGTAGGCTGAAAAAAAGTTTTTTTTTTTTTTGTTTTTTCTCCCTCGCTCAGGAATCCCTTTTACCAACTTATTTTAATTCAGTTGTTTTCCCAGATTGTCCATGCCCAACCTGCATAGGCGGTCAGGTGGGGTATGACGTCCTAAACAGGCTCTCAGCTTAAGAACTAACCCGGAGAGTAAATTTGCAGGCACATGGAGAACACGGAAAAACTCAATTCAACACAAAAACCTGTTGCCAAATGTACTTATTCCAACATATTCCAACTGCCTCATTCTATATCCGGTGCAATAATTAAAGCTGGAAGCCCTCTTTGTGTGTTTGTGCAGGGCTCGTCTTGGAATGCCTCAGTTCCTGAGTGCAGAGGCCCAATCTTTGCTCAGGGCTTTGTTCAAAAGGAACCCTGCCAACAGACTGGGTTAGTATCAGCTCTGGAACATGACTTTGACAAATGACGGTACACACTCTATCTGATTTCACAGGGAAAGGCTGTGCTTTACATTGGTTTGTAGTTTTCTATTGTGATTGATTCTATTTGATGTTTTGCAGGATCTAATGCCGATGGCGCTGAGGAGATTAAGCGGCACGGTTTCTTCTCAACCATAGACTGGAATGTGAGTTCTGTGTGATTACATATGTGTTTGAATTTATAGCAACCATCACAGGTGGCATTCAGAACTTCAACTGCACAGCGTGAGTTAAGCTTCTTTATTCCTTTTTAGAAACTCTTCCGAAAAGAAGTAAAGCCTCCGTTCAGACCAGCGGTCGCACGTCCGGATGACACTTTCTACTTCGACTCCGAATTCACCTCCCGCACACCTAAAGGTCGAAAATCAAAAATCAATACACATATTTTTTATTTAAAGGAGACACAGCAACATTGGGATGCACTAACATATTTGTGATTAGCTGTGCTTGTCAATAATACCTCAATGTGAAGTTTTTATAGCAGTGCCTTTTTTGTTTTCTAACATTACTGCAATAAACCTGTCTGTTTTTCCGAAGCCTTTATTTTTATTTATTATCCTGCAGACTCCCCTGGTGTGCCCCCCAGTGCTGGAGCTCACCAGCTCTTCAGAGGCTTCAGCTTTGTTGCATCAACTCTGTTAGAGGAGGATGGTTCATCAGAGCCAGTGCAGGCCCCACCACATCCAGTGGTTCAGGTCAGTAGCTATTCACTCTTGGGATAGATGAATACTGGATACTGGAGCCTGTTCTGGCAGGACACAAAGAAAACCGAGAAATTTCCCCTATGACTCCTTTGGCGACAGTGGGAGGGGAAAAAACTCCCTTCTAACAGGAAGAAGCCTCCAACAGAACCGGGCTCAGGGAGGGGCAGCCATCTGCTGCGACTGGTTGGAGGTGATGGGAGGAAGTTAGGTTAACTGGTCATTTAGAGTGTCCAGTCAACTAAGTGCATGTCTTTGGACCCTGGGAGAAAGTCTGAATACCTGGAAAGAACAAACTCATGACATGGGAAGAAATTGCAAACACCACACAGAAATTCCCCGGCTAGATGGTGGTGAGGCAGCCGTGCCAACCACCACACACTGTGCTGCCCGCAACATGATCAACAGTAACTCGACACACTAAAACTGAACAATGGAAGATTATAATAATATTGGCTGGTGTGATGAGTGTGAATTCAAATAGTAGGGTTTGGCACACTTCAGGCCCCTTAGTTATTCTCACATTGTATCCATCTTCTGATGGCTGTTATCAGCAGGAAAACAGACCACATCACAAGGCTCAAATCATCTCAAACTGGTTTTCTGAACATGACAGTGAGTTCACTGTACTCAAATGGCCTCCACTGTCATCAGATCTCAACCCAATAGAGCATCTGTGCACTCAAAAATTTGCAACATGGGTGTGCAGCTGGAAAATGCGCAGCAGCTGTGAGATTAAATCATGTCACTATGAGCTAAAACCACTGACGAATGTTTTCAGTTCCTTGTTGATTCTATGCTATGAAGAACTAAAGCATTTCTGAAAGTAAAAGGGAAGTGAGCCTAGTAATTAGTACCTGATGAAGTAGTCGGTGAATATGCCCATGTACTGTAATCTAAAGGTGTGGACAAAGTTATTTCAGTGTGTTATATTTCTGTCGAGTTCTGACTGCTGATGGCATGAAATAGAGACAGATTCTGTGTGTACGGTGTGCGAAAGGCAGACAGGAACACGATTAGAAAGAAACGACTCGGATGAGGTACACGGCTTCAAATCTTGTGTAATGCCTGGCAAAAGCAGTTTTTCTACTGCGTGTGTGGTAGATTTGAAGAGACACTTTGACAAAGAGGAAGAAATTGACTCCAGAAATAGATTTCAGCCCCTTCCCCAACATCATCAACCTCCCCCCACATGAGCTCTTGTCAGTCCGTCACTCCTCCAACGCTCATCACAATTTCAAATCTTCCTCTGCAGCAACTACACGGGAAAAACGTCCTTTTCAGCGATGGCTACGTACTGAAGGAAGATATAGGGATGGGCTCTTTCTCCGTCTGTAAACGTTGTATCCACAAAGCCACCAACACTGAATACGCTGTCAAGGTATGAACACATAAACACACACACACAGGGAAAAGTTAGCTTGTGGATACAGGACAGCAAAATCTAACAAATATGTTTTTCAATAGTTCTTCAGTAAAAGGAGGAGGAAAATATGCAGCCTTTCAAAAACATGATCCTAATGCCGTTGTTGTGCTTTTGATTTCCAGATGATTGACAAGACTAGCACAGACCCCTCTGAGGAAATAGAGATTCTGCTTAGATACGGACAGCACCCTAACATCATAACACTCAAGGATGTGGGTCTAAACACGCACTCTGTCTGACAACCTTTGTTCGCCTTGGGTGTTGAGTGTAATAAGACTCGCTGATGTTTGTTTGTCTTTCTGTCGCAGGTGTACGACAACGGTAAGCAGGTGTTCATGGTGACGGAGCTGATGCGTGGAGGAGAGCTGCTGGATCGGATCCTCAAGCAGAAGTTCTTTTCGGAGCGAGAGGCCAGCGCTGTGCTGCACACTATCACCAAGACTGCTGAGTACCTCCACTCACAAGGGGTGAGGACCACTAAGACCACTAGGACTTTTAGTCCTGTTTTATATGTATGTTTTGTCTAAGGAGCTTGAAAAGAAAAGCCTTTTGGACTTCTTTGAGTTTCTTGAAGACGTTTCACCTCACCTGAGAAGCTTCTCAGTTCTAAGGTCAAATGGTGGAGAGTCCCAGATTGAAGTCCTAGGGGAGTGTCCCCCGAAGAGGGTCATGAACCCCCCTGTTGATCCTCTACCTAAACGCACGAGCCAAGGTGTGAAAATGGGTGTAGGTCACAATCAGCCAAGGTTTCGGGTGAACCCGCTGTGAAACCTAGCCCCACCCTATCATGTGACTTTGAGGTCAAATGGCATCTATTGAACCTGTTCTTTTATTCTGAAATGGCAAACCTGTGAAGCACACAATGGGTTTTTTAAAATTATTTTCTGGAGCTGTATTTGAGCAATAGTGTTTTATCAAAATAACTGCTGTGAAATGGCTCGGTCTTTTAGAAATATTAGTTAGGGTGCTATTAAAGTTTAGTTATTTGATGTTCATTTTGCTTTTTTAAGAAAACTGTTGAATAGTAGTGCCTTTGAAAACCAGGCTAAAGTCTTTACTTTTCTTTTTCTTTTTACTTTTTATGTTTCCTGATGTTTAAAAACTTACAACACATGTCTACTTTTGTTTACTTTTTTATGAATTTTTAGCTTGAAGATGTCAAACTGTGTTCATCCTTTTAATTATTTTGGTTTAGTAACAACACATAGGGGAATAATCACTTGAAGCACCTCGGTAAATAATTCAACTTCTGATTAGAATAAAATTGAAAATAATTTATAGAAGACATTTTTAAAGCAGATAAAAATGGGAAAGAATTCCACCCAAGAGTGTTTACTGACACTTTCAATCCTAATTTTCTCCCTCCATTCCACTCTTGCCCTCTTGTGTTTCAGGTAGTGCACAGAGACCTGAAGCCCAGCAACATCCTCTATGTCGACGAGTCGGGGAATCCCGAGTCAATCAGAATCTGTGACTTCGGCTTTGCTAAGCAACTGCGTGCCAACAATGGCCTGCTAATGACCCCGTGCTATACTGCTAACTTTGTAGCTCCTGAGGTGAGCAGGTGACGAGTGCGCTCGCAAGACATACTCACAAAGGTCAAGGTTCCCCCAGTCATTGTGATATATAGTAATATGTGATTCCTTCTGACTCTGCTATAGGTGCTGAAGCGTCAGGGCTATGATGAGGGATGTGACATCTGGAGTCTCGGGGTTTTGCTGTACACCATGCTGGCTGGGTTAGTAGGAACACTTGAAATCATTCTTTGAACTTTGTTCTCTCTCATTATTCTTTGCATTAACCTCACCGTCTGTCTACTTTTGTTCTCACCAGTTTCACTCCATTTGCCAACGGACCTGAAGACACTCCAAATGAAATCCTGAACAGGATAGGCCACGGCCACTTCAGTCTGACTGGTGGTAACTGGGACTCTGTGTCTGATGCCGCCAAGGTAGGAGTCAATATTTGTTAGACAACTCTTTTACTCCCTAGAAAGAATTTTTTGTTGTATTTGCGTCAACCTACAAGTTTTCCATAATATTATTATTTGGCTTTTTCTAGGACCTGGTGTCCAAGATGCTTCACGTTGACCCCCATCAGAGACTGACTGCTAAGCAGGTTCTCAAACACCCATGGATTGTCCGCAGAGACAAGCTGCCCAACAGCCAGCTCCCACACCAGGACCCCAAGCTGGTCAAGGTAACAAAACTGCCTGGAATCAGGTTAAAGGAATTCATTGATTCATTGAAGTTTTAGTAGCTGAAACACAACATGTAGAATGATTTTATATCATATCAGTTGCTTTTAGTGTCACCAAAATACCAATATGATTGTACACTGCAATATACTTGCATCGTGTGTTGCATTGTCAATTAGAAAACACAAGACGAGCGGGTTTTTTGCATTGCAGTAAATCAGACAACATGTCAGTAATTCATACTCTCATCTGGGCTTCAATCATGATGTTGCTCTTTATGCACAGGGTGCAATGGCAGCCACCTACTCCGCCCTGAAGAACTCACAACCTACTCCAGAGCTCAAGCCCATTGAGAGCTCCTTCCTTGCTCAGAGGCGTGTCAAGAAACTTCCCTCCACATCTCTGTAGAGACTCTGAATAGCCAATCAGGTCACAGGAGTCTGATCAAAACCACACCTCCTGGCTCCAAACCACCCCGTCAGCTTGCTCGGGGACTTGGTGTCGACCCGCCAATACCAGCCAAGGAACACTGACTGTGGTCCTGCCCCCATCTTGTGACATCAGTTGTCCCGCTCTAGCTATCATCCTCCTTGTGTGGGCTCGCCAGCTGCAGCTGTTAGCCGATCTCCTTTTGCCTATCAAAATATCATGACGATGGATGGGGGCAATGAGGGCGGAAAAAAAGAAATGTAAAAAAAAAATGGGTGCAGGTTTTTTGGCAGATGTTCTGGCGCCGTGTGGGTGTTTGTGCGAGTGTGTGAGCGTGTTTGTGCATGACCCGCTACAGAGTCGATGCAGCCCTGTTTTTGATAGTGACAATGAAAGTTTTCTCTTCTCATCTTTGCTGTAATTGGTTGTCATTCTCGCTGCACGCCTATCCATCTGCCTGTTTTTTGGTTTTTTTGCCGTCTGTCCGTTCTTTTTGTAGGGTTTTTGAGCTTCGTATTAGCGGTTGTGCTGCCAATTCAACCTGTGCCGACAGCACAAAACCACAGTACTGTCCAAACTGCTGTTAAATGTTTCTCAGAGAACGTTATTGATATGAATATTAAAACATTTCTGCCATAAATGCCTCTTTGGCTTTGGTACAGCCAGAATATGTGCATTCTAGAAAATGTCAGTTGCTGATGTTTTGGTTAGTGTCAATCTATGCTTGCGTTTTGTTTTATGGAGAGTGTGTGCGGACGCGTGCGTGCGTGTGTGTGTGTGTGTGGGCGTGTGTGTCAGTTGCATGACTTGCAGTGTGTGTCTGTACTGTCTCGCGGGATGCTGCAGAGTCATGTGCATGGTCCGGTGATGTGGCTTTCTCGTTTCGCTCCTATTCCTCTTCTCTGCTTGGTCAATCTGCTGGCAACCATTTGAGATGTCTGTTATTTTTATTACTATAAAAACTAGTAACATAGATGGCTTTCTGTGAAAGAAACCCTGCCCAAGGAACAATGTGGCATGTTAAAAATTCTATATTTGCATTGTTTTCTTTTTTTTTTTGTTGTTGTTTTCACTGTGTTTCTTGGATAATGCCTATTGAATACTGTTTCCTGTGTTGGTTGTTTTTGCTGTCGATTGTTTTTTTTGTTTTTTTCTCTTTATCCAAAGAAAGTAGTGATTTAAAATAGTGAAAGACATGCTGAGCACATCGCAGCCTGTGGACTTGATGCCGCACAGGTCTCTTCTTCTGTTTAATAAGTCAGGGCTGGCTGCTGTCTTTACGGAAATAAGCACTTGTTAAAATCTCTGTCAAATCACTGGTTATAATGTCACATAGACTTGCCCTTATTGTGGATTATCTTTTTTTCATTCATTATATTGGAATTCCATTTGTTGATTATCTGACTCGTTGGTATTTTATTGACACTGAATACGAGGCCTAGAGTTAAAGGTGTCTCAGTGTAAGCTTCTCCATGGAGTAGGTCCTGCTTTTAGCTCAGTGCCTAGGCCTACAGGTGAGGCGGAATGTCTTGCATGGAAAGCACACCGTAAGGATAAGAAGATGCTGTGCATGTGTAGAAGGAAAGACCTGTGTGGCTTAAGAATCTATGAAGCAGCTGTCTTACCTCAAAAGAAATCAAAGTTATATTATAATTCTTGTTTGGTGGCAAAAATCTCCCTCCTTTGTCAAAATTTATGGTAAGATGTTATTGTATGATAAAGATGAAGATTTTTATATCTTACAATATTAAAAATCGAGTTGCTATGACAAAGTGTCTGTCTTGCTTTATTGTTTTTTTATAACTTCAAGTGACATTCAAGTGTATAAAAATACACAATTCCCAGATATAGAAATATGAAAAAATATCACATTTTGAAACCGACAAAGAACACATAATACTGTAAGATCAGTAGTACTTCTTATAACTAATAATTCTTTATGCATTCAGTTTTTTGTGAGTAGCTGTTTTTCATCCACAAACAAGTATTGGTGCTGGAACCATCACTTGGTTATGCTGCTGTTGGCTCAGGCTGCTGACTTCCTTACACTGAGTACTTCTCCACTCCCGTCTTCTCACTCCCCAGTTGTTTACACAAGAAAACTGCACCCAATTAAAATGTCATCTCTCTCATAATGTGTGCTGGGGGGCTCCCATGATGCACTGAGTGTTTCCTCTTCACTGATCTCTTTCCACACTGTGTGTTTATCCACCATTTTGTATTTAATTATCAGTAACTATTAAAGTCTGACTCTCTCTCCTATAGTTCGCCTTTTGTCCTGTCTCCCTCTGTTCCTTTCTCATTTCCCTCACCCCCATCTGGTCGCGCTAGACGGCCGGACCTTCCATGAGCCTTGCTCTGCCAGAGGTTTCTTCCTGTTAAAAGGGAGTTTTCATTGTCATCACGTGCTTATTCACAGGGGGTTATGTGATTGTTGTGGGGTTCTTTCCAGAGGTGTGGACTCGAGTCACATGACTTGGACTCGAGTCATTAATTTTATGACTTTAGACTTGACTTGAAAAAATGTTCTAAGACTTGGGACTTGAATTGGACTTGAACCGGTTTACTTGAAAAGACTTGATATTTTACCCCAAATATAAAATTTAACATGCATATTATATAGAGATTGAAAATGTGACGTCATTCACGGGTAGAACCGCAAAGGATTCTGGGAACTCGTGGCAAGCGGTACTAGCGCACGCAGGCTTTCAATTAAAATCAGTTATACAGCGATAAAAAGAAACACAAAAATGTCAAGAAGCCTGTTGTATTATTAACTGCAATAGCCGGTCGCATGACAGCCACGGGAAGCCGACGGGTAAAGAGATCGGTTGTTATCGGATTACGTCGTTGAAGAGAAATTGTTCGAGCCATGTTTCCGAAGTAACAAAGAGCGACTGGATTGCAGCCATTCAAAGATCCAAATATAACGTCCCAGAACACTCCAGCTCACAGGTTAGTCTGCTCCAAGCATTTACCACGAAGGTCAGTGTTTTGTAGTAGTTAATACGTCATTTTTCATAACATAATTGGTGATATAGGTTACAAGCAAGTCTGGCGCTGAACAGAAATTGTCGGCGCTATGCTCCTTTGTTTATTGTGCATAAATAGTGAATTGTCCTGACACAATATTGCTGTTTCGCTTCTGTTATTATGGTACATTGACAAAAACATATACTTTTATTCACAGGATAAAACAGGTTTTTTGTATCACTAATTGCCCAGTACGATTACAGCATACAGTATTATTGTCACTGCTACATTTCTGTGACGCTACCAGAAATTATTTCCACTACTAATTAATTACCGTTGAGCTCAAAGGTCCTATTAATAAACGGTTAACGAATGTGTATTTATGACGACGATTTGTGAGACTGGTAAACTTATGATACGTACGATGGTCTTTCGTTCTACACGGTGCATTTCAAGGTCCTGCACCCATCCGTCGGTAAACTGTACCTGGGCTTGTTGCAGTGACCGTGAAGTTACTAAACTTCATGAGTGTATGCACTCACTCCAAGAACCGTATGATTATAAATATGCATATAAATATGCTACGATGAGATAGCTGACTTCATCTAACTAGCAAATGTTGTCCAGGCTACGTTGGTGATGCAGTTTTTTTTAATGTGTATGATATTTTTGTCATGCGATTTTAAAGCCGGTCCTACAACCGCATCCAAGAATAACATGCAGCTTATCTCAGAACTGTCGGTGAAAATTATTCTTGGAGCTAGGTTTAATTGAGCTGCATTTTAAAGAGGTGCAATTTCACAATTTGTGTATATTTTCTAAGTTCACTATTTTGTCATGTGTTGAGAAAAACACAGATTTAAAAATTACATGGTCTAATATTTACATTTAGCATATAACTGCAACATGCTTTTTTTCGTTTTTTTTTTTTAAAGACTCGAAAGGACTTGAAATTCAAAATTTCAGACTTGTGACTTTACTTGGACTTTTACACCAGTGACTTGAGACTCGACTCTGACTTGCCTGACATTACTTGAGACTTGACTTGAGACTTGAGGATAAAGACTTGAGACTTGACTTGAGACTTGCAAAACAATGACTTGGTCCCACCTCTGGTTCTTTCTAATGTTATAGATACCAATCAACGTTCCCTCTAAGCTGCGCGCGTGCGCAATTGCGCACGGCTGGCACGGTCTCTGCGCACAGAAAAAAAAATCTAATCTGAATTAAAATTAATACTTTAATAATTCTGTTTTGCAGTGTTAGTCAGTAAGTGACTGGCTGCTCCTGTATGGGATTAGAATGATGCCACCTTATCCCATAGTCCAGCCAATGATGCGATTCACATTCGTATATATGCAGCTAATCAACGTCGTTGACAGGCTATGACAGCGGCCTTATGTGCCGGCACCGGTGTTTTAGCAAAGCGGCCTGGCTGATGTAGAGTGAAGCCAAGTTAATGACAACGTGTACAACTATTGGAGACGTGAGCAGGACAGACGGAACAATTGAAAAGTGTGGACTTTATACCAGTTTTTAAATTGTGTAAAACCAGAGTTATGATAAAAAAATATATGCAATGTTTCGAAAGAACTCTCTGCCTGTGCCCAAAACCCAAAAAACCCCCACCCTTTCCCATTGGTGGAAAAATCTACCAATCAAAAAATGATATGGCAACATGGCATTTAGTTGTTTAGGAAGGGGGAAGTTTTAGGAGTGACGGCAGTGTTTTGAGATGTGAGAGATTTGCGATGTTCAGCCCAAATCTTGTGTAGTTGGTGTGTAGTGTAGTCAATAGTTTTCTTGTGTGTGTCAGAACAATGAGGCGACTACTGAATGTTACAGGAGTGATACATCTGCTGTTGTCAGGCTGTTGTTCTCTTTTATCTCATAGTGGACATAAATTCTTTTTGGAGTGGCACAAATAATTTACATGGCATCAAATTTGATGCAGAACAGCTGATTGTTCTGTAAATAGTTTGAAATGTTTATTAAAAAAAAAACTTGGCTGCATTTTTAGGTAAACAGCTGCAAAAAACTTTGTTGTTTGCATAACTCAGTTACCTTTTTGAAGAAGTAACGATATAATTAACTGCCCAACATTGGTCATTATTTACTGTATTTTGCAGACAGAGAGTTACAGGACTCTCTCCCAGACCACAGACTCATAATACAAGTCAGAGCTTTATTTTATTTATTTATTTTTTAAAAAGAAAAGAAAAAAAGTTGTGTTTTCAAATTTGGAGCTCAAGATATTTTTACTTCCAATAGTGTTAACATACACAGGTCATGAAGAAGATTTTTTTTAAAGTTTTCATTGTAAGTGGGCTAAAGCAGTTAATTAAAAGTAGTCTAACATAAATGTAAATGCTGTAATTGGATTATTTTAATAAACCATGTGACTTGGATGGATTCGATGCTGGCGTGACCACAGTGCACACGTCTGCTGTTGCTCACAGAGGTCCAAGGGACCGCTCAGGGAGTTTGTGTGTTCGCTCAGACACATGAAAAATTAGAGGGAACATTGCTTACCATATAAAGCACATTGAGGAGACTGATGTGATTGGTGCGCCTTACAAATAAAATTGAATAGCCAGGGGTGTCTAACTCCAGGCCTCGAGGGCTGGTGTCCTACAGGTTTTAGATATGCTAGGTCAACACACCTGAATCAAATAATTAGTTCATTTCCAGGTTTCTGGAGAACTTCAAGATATGTTGAGGAGGTAATTTAGCCATTTAAATCAGCTGTGCTGGATAAAGAACACATCTAAAACCTGCAGGACACCGGCCCTCGAGGCCTTTTCCCCCTCTTCTCTTTATCCTCATACCCCGAGTGACTATGACAAATGGCTGCTCCCCACTCTCTGAGCATTTTTCTGCCAATGGCTCTTCCTGTTCAAAGGGGTTCTTTCTTCCCTCTGTCACCATCTGCTTGATTGTTGTGAATCTAATTAAGGATGTTGTCCCTGCTTGTGAAAAACTTGACTCGATTGGGCTGGGTTGGTGCATTGATGTGTGCCTTTAATGACCTTCACTTCCTGTCTCAGCAGACCAAAGCCTGGTGTATTTCCACAGATGGTCACTGGAGGGAGATAAAGTGCAAACATACAAACATAGGTTAAATCAATCCATGCCTGCATAAGTAGATGGATTGAGGCAAAGGTCAAGGCTTGTCAACATGAATACTGTACTTCTTTATTTTTTTAATATTCCACTATGTTTAATTATTCAAACCTCATGTTTAAAACTGCTGCTGTCACTTTTTCCCTGTGATGAAAAGCATCAGTTGGTAGACCAAATTAAAGCCACATTAAATATTGTGATTCATATTTATGCATTCACTTGGAGACAATATCAGTGTGTGAACGACTTTCTTCTGCAGCCTCTCTCCATCTGCTCTTGCTTGTAGCATTTTAACTGTCGTGTCCCAGCTTTCCCTTCTTCAGCAATATGGCAGATTCAGCTTTATTAGTATCAGCTCTTAGTATCGCCTCATGGTTGTACTTGATGTTACCTGCTTCTGTATGCACAGATGCAATCACTTACATAACAGCCACTGCTTCTCAGCGGTTGTGGGGGAGGATGATTTATGCTGACACGGTGTGCACCATCATGTCAGAGACAAATGCAGCTATTTATTTACAGACACACATACATAGTGTGATATATTCCCACTGGTCTGTGTTTGACGTCATCTTACCAGTAAGTCACACTGCGACGAATGACTTCCTGCTCTTTTACACTTACGCACACGCACACACAGACAGACTGACTGACTCAGCCTGCGGCAGCAGA